CCCCCCCAGTCCTGATCCTCAAGTCCGATGCTGTACTAGCCGTAACCGATTATTTGGAGGAAAAAGACATTTAATTTCATACTCACTCTAGCCCTTAATGAACAACAAAAACATTTTTAAGCACATGGAAACGAGCCTACTAACCTGATTTTTAGAGCCCAAATTCTCTATTTTGATCTATGTGCAAAAAGTATTGGTACTTTTCAGTTTATACATTTGTTAGTATCCTGTGCTGGCTCGCCCGTGTCCTCACTTGAGTCTACAGACGACAGCACCGTCAGAGGCTGTCAGGTTCTAGCTACGTCCCGTTCAGCCCGTCCTAGGTGTCTTCATGATGACCTCGCCTAGCACAGTCCCCACGTGGCCCGGGGGCCCATAGCGCACTCCCCTAGCTGCTCTGCGGGCATCCTTGTCACTCCGCTAACTTAGTGGAGTTATGCTCTTTGTAAAATGCGCCTCACCTCTATGCCGCCCCCCTTTTCTAAACAGTGTTTTTCACAGAAAAACTCCCCATCTGGGGCTGGCTGGGTGAAGCCCGGGACAGACTGCGGGCCAGGCAGGGCTCCCAGGGGGCGTCAGCGGTGGCCCTGGGCCACTGCTTCAGCTCAGTCCCGCCGCCGCCCCTCTCTGCCCACCGATCGTGCGGACGTTTCTGTAGAGACTGGGGCACATTAACGGCTTCGGGTTTGGCGAATCACTGAAAACACGAATGGGTTTAACTGCACTGAGGTAAAGACAAGTTGCCACTTAATTATATACAGTTACCAATGAAGACTTTTATTCAAGCTCAAAGTAAAAAGTAATTTAAGAAAAATGAAGTACCAGATAAACTGTAACATATAGTTATTGTAACTCAGAAGTATCAAAACAGGAATTCTTGATTCTCTAAGTGGTGGTCTCTGCAAAATGGAGCTTAAAGAAATCTTTTACATACCAATTTGATAAAATAATCTGCTGACCACGGTCTGTCACGTTCTCTTACTATGAGCTTTTGGGAGAATCCGTGCTAGTTTAAGGCCAATTGTGTTTGTCTTTCTTCTCCCCTCCCTGACTTTCCCACTTCTCCCTGCAGCCGCCCTGCCCCGCACCCACGGGACAGTTCCTGACACCCAAGCCTTTCCCCGCTCTGGGTCCTGAGTGTGCCAACTCAGGCCGGTGACAGATGGCAGGCTTGGCTGGGCCCCAAAGGGGACTTAGTACAAGCCCTTTTCTTCACCAGAATCTTATCTCGGGGGTACTCCCACTCCTCCTCCCAGCGTAACAGCCGTGGTCCCCCCGGAGCCTCTACTGAGAAGGGGAGGGAGGGAGTCTCGAAGGAGAGGAAGTCGGCTGCATTCAGCTGTTACGGGGTTTAAAAGCACAATGTGAACATCAGGCTTTTGGCTTATTCTAAATGTGAAATTCTCAGGGTTAAAAGTGCTTTTCCATGAAAGAGACCTTCCCTTAAACCGAAGGGGGAGGGGAGGCAAGGACTACCCACAGCACCAGTATAGAATGAGGTTCAGTATGGCAATATCCGGAAAACTGAGAAGGAGCTTTCTGTAAATTTATGTATCTCTACAGGTCAGAATATCAAGGGTCATTAAGATCAAGGACTGTGAGGTTTTAAACCCAGTTTCGGTCTGTCTGGAACCTGCTGAATTCTTCGGACAAGCTCAAGCAGACTAGGAACTTCCCCAGTGGTTACGCCTCATCGCCACGCGCCCGCTGGATCGCACCAGAACACCTTCCCGAGCCGAGAACAACTTGGAACGTGCTTTGTTGCGAACCTACATGGACTACTGATCTCTCCTGTCGGCAGAGATTTAAAATTCTCTTTTTAATCTTGAATTTCTTCAACATCAGGAACAAAACAAAGGGGGGAAACCTTCACGGTATGACTCTGGATCCCCTGGGCAAGTCTCACGTGGGGCTGCAGAAGAGCGTCAGTTATACTGCGTTATCTAAATCACAGAGGGAACTTTTTGAAGCTGGTTTAGATTCCAAATGTATACAAATGAAGTCACTTTAATCCTATAAATACTTCTTAATTTATTTTTAAAAAATTGTGCTGTTAACCCTTTTACGGGGCAACAAGCTATGTGAAAAGTACAAAACTTTTTGTCAAATGTAATATTGAGAGTGCTTTTGACATAGTTCACTGGTTTATCATCTGGATCAGTATATACTGCGCAACGGGCAAGGCTAGAATCCATGAACCAAGCTGCAAAGATCTCAAGCTAAATAAGGCGGAAAGATTTTGGAGAAACAAAAGAAGGAAATTCTTTCCTATCCAATGTATACTCTTCAGACTAATGCACTCCTTCTATCAAGCCTTCTAAACTGTTAAATAAAGTTTTCCAAACAAGCATTTAAACTTCATTACACAGAAGAGCAACAAGAATGGTATCCCACCAGACAAAAGGCAGGAGGGAAAAAAATATATATACTGAGTTCAATGGGTAAGCCTGAATGTAGCACAGTTCTTCACAACCGATGGGGGGATAATTCAACATGGTGTCCAACAACGTTCTAACGACGTGCTTCATCTCAACTGGTTACTATGAAGCAAGGTGTAAATGTTTGGCCCCAATCGGGCTTCAGAAATGGTTCTTTTTTCATGACGAGCATGTCTGTCCAGCTATCAATCATGTTTGTTTGCACCAAATCCCAAGCCATTAAAATACGACTAATTTTAAGTTAAACAGAAGTCGTCTGCTCCACATTCGCCATCAACTATCCATGCTACTGCATTCCTCTGAATGAAGACAGGATGAAATGTATTTCGGGGACGGGGGGGGGGGTGGGGGGGAGAAAAGGGGAGGGGAAGAAAAAAGTCACCAGTTAGAAAGTTTTAATATCAGTGCATCATGACATTACAAACCGTACTACCACTGAAAACAATCACACCATAGCAAGTTCTTGGTCTTTCCATCATAATCTTTAGAACAATGTGTCCGGATTGTGTCTTACTTAGCCTGCTTATTATAGTTTAAATTCATTACTTTGAATATTGGAAAACCCAAGTGAATAATCAAATTAGAATCTCATACTTTAAAAATGAACCTTGAAGTAGTTCTGTGGAACAGAAAATCTTTACGATTAGATGACAAAAGGAAAGAGGAGTGAAGTCCAAGGTAGGAGGGCGCCTGGGACCGCATGCTTCGTCCGCTCAGCCCGGAATTCTGTGCTACGTTCCCACTGTTTTCGGGAACGGGTCAGGAAGCCTCCTGCACACAGTTCAGTGGCTATTACGGGCACATTCACAGGGTTGGACAACCGTCTCGTCACCCGCTAGCAGTCATACAAACGGCAGCACGCAGCCCTCAGCACCCCACCGGTCTACTTTTGGTGTCCAAGGACCTGCCCACTCATTTCACATAACGGGGTCGCACTAAGTGGTCTTCTGCGTCCGGGTCTTGCACTTGGCATATTGTTTTGGAGATTCGTCCGTGTTGCAGCATGTGTCTGCTTGATCCTATTCTACTTTACGCATCCCTCAAAACGATACAGTAGGGAACTCTACTGTTAGAATAAAAGGTCAGCAGATGGGTTTCTGAAACGGGAATCAAATATTTTTGCTTAAATGACTTATAGTATCTTAGGGTGTCATGATTTTTGAATGTCATTTTCTTCAGCCTCATCTATATTTTTCAAAATGTCTATTCCAAACAGGTATAACTTTCATTAGTAAAAAAATAAAAAATAAAAAATAAAAAATTCAAGTGGAGGAAAAGAACCCAGAAGACACTTTTTTCCTGTTTTAGGTATAAATGAACTTCTTGCCAAAACACAAAGCAGAGATGCTGCATTGGACCAGATCTCCCAAGGGCGCCAGATGAGGCTCACCCACGCGGTGTGCGTCCGCATCGACCTGACCTGCCCGACACCAACAGAGGGGGCAGCTTGGACTTCACGGTCGTACAGGCATAAGCTCAAAGCTGTGTCTTAAGTATGTCCGCTTACCAGGTAAATCTCTTACTATCTACCTAATATTTCAAATCGAATATGCTTCCTTGAAGAAATAACTTCCAAATGACTGATAAAATGAGAGAAACACATGTAATCACAGTTACGGATCTGTAACACGTCAGTCCCTGAGAGCGGGCGCTGAAACCTGAACAGGACAACACACGGAGGCAAAGGGTCTCGGTGCCGGCGGATTTCCCAGAGGCACGCTGGCCCGTCCCGCAGTGATGCAGACACAGAAAGACCCTTCAGGCTCTGAACCACTGAGCAGCGGGTCTCAAATTCTTCACCCATGTCCTCTTCATGCGCCGACTCTCACCTCACCGCGGCTGGTCTTTCTCACTAAAACGTCTAGGTGGGACACGCGGTGAACAAAAATCTCGTCATCTGTTTTCTGGGGAACTTGCTTCCTTCTAAGCAAACCAAATATTTCACTTGCTCTGTTTGAGAGAAGAGCAGTATGTCCTTTACGTGAGATTTCTCATCGTGTCTTCCCTCCAGCACCGGTGTCTTGCTCAACCGCACCATATCCTCACGGAAAACCCTGCAGACTCGGGACGGCGACTCCGTCTCCCCCCCACAGCAATGCGGGCAGCGCCCCCCCCCCCCCCCCCCCCCACAGGGCGCCCCCCCCCCCCCCCCCCCCGCCACAGGACTGTGCAGGACAGCCCGGTGCGTGCCCAAGGCACAGGGCAGATCGGAGCGTCCTCTCTCCAGGTCACGCACGGTGCCCTGGGGCCAGGGGTCACACGGTGTTATGGGTGTGTGTGCTCAAGAGCAAATCGTTCTGAAGTTGTTCACATTTTGTACTATTAGCTAGTTCTCATGGGTGTGAAAATATAAAATGCTTCCTGCATCACGGAGATTTTCAAGATTTGCTGAGCTGAAAAAACTAAACAGCAACGCGGCTGTAAATGAGGTGGTGCGTTCCCATTCATCTTCCCCAATGTCACCACCACACACGTGCACACACGTGCCAAACACGCACACCCATACCACACACGCGCACATACATGTACCAGACACCCCCCCCCACACCTACACCACACATGCACAGACACACACACACACACCCCCCCCTGTATGTCAGGTTACTGAAACTCCTGTGGAGAGAGTACTATCTCTAAAGCAGGGAGGAAGTAAATTCTAGCCCACACTGAAAAGTTCCCAATAGGCCGGGCCATGTGTCACCCGGAGGAAGCGCAGGGACGGTGTGCGGTGGTGTTACCTTCAATATTCTGGTGGTCTATAAAAGGTGCTGGTCCCCATATTCTAACAGTGCCATCGTCTGAGGCGCTGGCCATCATGGATGGGATCTGTGGGTTCCAGCTCACACAGTTCACTGTGCGCGTGTGCCCTGTCAGCTCCGCAATGGGCAGCTCGCTACGCTTGTGCCAGATGTAAACCTTGTGATCTGGATAAACAGGAATTCAGAGAGAGGTCAGGGCGCTGTTGTACTTCAACAAAACCAACTGATCTGAAATTTCTCATCATCACACACAGAACATAGGACTCGATTTTTAGAACTTAATATGACATGTATAGTTTAATTCCCTTATGAGAAAAGCCATTTTAACAAAACATATGGTTCCCCTGTTAAAGGTGACTGATTAGCTCTCAAGTGAAGTCTGCAGTATTCTTTAATACCCGAGAAATGGATCACAGGCAAGGTCTCTCAATGTAAACAAACGTAGGACAGAGACGATAAACGCTCTGGAAATGGGGGGTGATGGAACCGCGATGCGTCCAAATCCAACAGCAGCAATAACGCAGACGACTGCTAAACCTCTGCGGAGAGTTCACCGCGTCCTAGGTGCCAGATACATCAGTGACTGACTTACTATTTTCACCACCGCTGCCACGAGGTGGGTGCTGTGCTTCTGCCCTTCCCAGGGAAGGGGCCTGAGGCACTCGGACGACCCGTCTCACACCCGCCCTCCACCACCAGCCACCGCTAACTGTGGACACACCACCCACTCTTGGCGATCCTTCATCTGCACACAACATGGTGTGAGGGTAAAATCAGTTTGTGTACTCAAGAGTTTTGGAAAGAGCCTGGCAGAGAGTATACAGCGCACGTTACTGTAAAGAGGGACCTACGTCCAGGTGACAGTTCTCAAACAGAAGGCAGACCCTGCGTGAGTGACAGAAGCGCTCCACCTGAAGGCGAGCCGCCAACTAGCGGCCGGTGGGGGAGCTCCCGGGGGATGAGCTTCCCACCGAGCAAACCTCAGCGTGCTGAGAAGCAGCTCATTTGTGGTAAAAGAACACGTCCTGCTTTCAAAGCGTCTAACGTGAACATGAAAGGCTGGGATTCCCTCTGAGCATTGTGTGTGCGTATGGGAAGCAAAAGCTGACACACTCACTGGAGAACTGAATTATACTTTCCTAGAAGGTGTATGTTGTTCAGTCATTTTTTCCTTGCATAAAATGAAATAAGCAAAAAAAGAAAAAACCAGAGAAAGACAAAACAGATTAGCTACGCTTCCCCTTGAACTGAGGAAGTTCACAAAGTCACAGTGAAAAGTATGAATGCACCGGACACCTGCCGGCCGCCAGGGGGAGATGCTTTGTGAGCACACACCCAAGGATGGTGTCTGCTGGAGAGGCAGCAGGCCCTCGGACTCGCAGGGTCAGGGTCAGAGCCACAGGCTTGCTGACTGAGCTCTGCCGGCCGCCGCGGTCCACGGAACCCACGGCTTGTGTGGCGGTAAAAAAGAAAGCAGGGTTTTCTACACATTGCCCACACAGTGAAAAAGCTTGAGTAATGACGTAACTTTTTTGAAAACACCTCCTAGTTGCTCTATTTCATACTGGCATTCATGTATTTGGGATTTGGAAGGTTCTTAGAATATATTCCTTGCAAATAAATGACAAATGGATTAATGTGATCATTTTGGGACATAATGCATTCACTATGTCCACTTGGTGCTGAAAACATTTTTCAGAACCATTCTAAACCACCTGACTCGTGAGAATGCTCATCTCTTCACTTCATGTTTCATTTTTAGCCCAAAGAGAATATAATGTGGTTTGATTAATTAATAATGATTCATCATTAGTTCAGAGTTAGTTCGGGCTTTAAAATAAAAGGACTGACATCACTAGGGATAATGGTAGTCACATGTATTCTGAAGCACTTCTAGGGTCCATATTATGTTTAGAAAGACAGGGGAGCATAACCAAGAGGGGAAGCCCACCAGAGGCAGGGCTGAACAGAGCTTGGGAGAGAGACTGGGCAGGGGGGGTCAGCGCTAACAAGCAGGCAGACTTCATGTGCTTGGACCAGGCCAAATGAGGAGCTAGTGCAGAATGTGGGAGAAAATAATTGGAAAGATGTGAACTTCTCAAAAGTGTTACCTACAAACCAACTCTTCTCTCTT